TTTTTTTTTTTGATACCCAGGTGTCCCAGCTTCGTCAGACTAAATCCTGGACCCATAACCACCGGCCCCTCAGTAACTAACGGAGGTAAACCGTAGGTTGTGCCCTTATTAGATCACAGGTTCCCACCCGGTCTAAACTCCTGGCCTCAAGAGAGCTTTCCTCCATAGTGATTAATCCATCAATAAATTGCCCCTTTATTGGATCAAAGGTTCCCACCAGGAATCGAACTCTCCACGCTGAGGTTGCGAGCGCGTCAAAGGTGATTGATCCACCAACTCGGATGAATGATTTCTTGATTTGTTTGATAATGGTTTGTGATTTGGGACGATGCAATTCATCATAAGATGTGGTGAAGCGGCGGCACGACGAAGGCGATGACTGTGATGGTGGGTTAATTTAGGGTGGAGTGTGAAGGAGATGGTGAAAAGTACTTTTTGGGAGGGGCTGGCTTTTTTATTTTCATTTATTTGTCTTCTGTTTTATTTTAATTCAAAGATACCATTCTACCCCTTTAAAAGATGTCAATTAATTTCTTGAGTCAACTAACAGTCAAATTAACAGAAATCATCCATTTGAATTCTAGGTGCAAGTTTTTAAAAGATTTGGTAATGTGGGTGCACCAAAATGAAGGTTTGTGCAAAGTTTGCTTGAAATCAAAAAGTTTGGTATCTTGGATGCAATTTTCCCAATTCAAAAATTACGTACTAGAAATAAATATTCTAATTTATAAAAAGTGCTTATAAGTATAAAATATTACTTTTAACAAAAAATTTCACTTATAAGTAAATGACATAAAATTAAAAGAGTTGCTCATAAGTAAAAATTACATATAAGACAAAAAATTGTTACATGTAAAATTAATTAAAAAAATACCTTAAAAATCACTTAAAACTGAAAATTACATATAACTAATTTTTTTCTCCAAAATATAAAAAATGACTCAAAATAAAAATTTCCATATACGTTAAAAATTCACACGTGTAAAATAATTACTTATACACATAGTTGTCAGACCCGTTCCGAGCAATGACCCCGACAATGTTGTGTGTCAACAGGTTAGTGGTTCAATTGGTGACCCGATGATTCAACCTACGGGTCTACTCTTGTCAAACAAATTATCAACTATTTTCATTGTATAGTAAAATTATAATATTTTTTTTACTACTAACTAGATTAACCTTATGTTATTTTAGAGACTAAAGACCAACCTATATGATAAAATTCAACAAGAGATGAATCCTATCAAACAAATTTCCACCTTTGTGATTGAAGATGAATCATATGCAATGAATTTCCACCTTGGTTCAGCTCTGACATTCAAAACCCCAGCATTAACTAAGTGTTGGAAGTAATATTATTTGCTGGTTTAGTCAATGTATACATTTGTAATCTTTACTTATGTGTTACATCAAGTAACTTATAAAGGATCTTGGCAAATATATTATAGCTGTCTCTATTTTTGCATTTCTTTATTACAGAGAAAGCAGAGCAAGTGTGACTGCTCTACACACTCACTTGTGAGTCTCATCCATAAGTGCTAAAGTAAAAATTTGCTCTAATCCCTTGAGTGATAGAAATAGCTGCAGTATTTAGAAGAGTGTTACCTGGCAATGCTTCTTGTCCATTTCATTACATCACCAAATGTTCCTTTACACACATTGAGAACCCCATCTAGTGATTCGAACATATAACCAAAAGCTTCTAACATTGTTGGTGGACTAAACAGTTCCCATAAAGCATTATGAGCCTGTTTGGAGTGATTTTGAGAATTGATTTTTTGACCACTAGGAAAAAAGTGAGATTTACTTGTGGGAAAAGAAATCAAATATGACGACTGGAATAATGAAATAACGGTCAAAAAATCAATTTTTTGGACACATGGGCTGTATATATTTAGATTAGCTTAAGTTTTGGTTCTATGATGTATTGTTATTTCAATAGCAATATCAGGCATATTGTCAGTAATGCTGCTTGCAACAACGGGAAAATTGCCAGGCCATTTCAACTCAGACTGTTGCAACTTTATTAATTGAAGCTATAATGTACAGATTATAGTGGCGAAAGTCAA